TAGTTATGCTATCATTTTGGGACCTTGTGGATGCCCAAAATCCGTGCCCATGACCCCAACCCAATCCGATCTTCCAATTTGATTAAGGTGCTATTAAGTTCGGTCTTATCTTGCGGTGCTATGTACAGTGAAATACGCTTGGTTAGTTTAAGTTTCCCTAAGTACCCCCGAATCCCTCGAAATTCCCCCAACACACTGACAATCCTTTGCTGCCCAAAACATTCAAAAACATTCATTATTGTACTAAAGTCTCTAGGAACGCTCTTGGTAGTTCCGCCATTGTACGCTAACGTTTAACTAAATTATGAATAACTACGAGTATTTCCATTAAGTCTACTCTAATTAGTTTCTCTTCCATCGCAAAAATACGAAAATAAATAAACGAAACGAAAACGAAAACTGAAAGCTGGAAACTGAATGCTGAATGCCATGGAGGAGCAGATTTTTGGAATGCGCAGCTAATGTAAAATGTCTTCTGCCCTCCAGTCTTAACTGAATGCAATCAGGAGGGGATGGGATGGGGTCCCCACAGCGGATGGGGATGGGTGGATGAAAATGAGGATGCGATGCGATGGGATGGGACACCGAAGGGCTGCGGCAGAAATAATGCGCGTAATAACAAACTGCAGGCGTAACTGAAATGCCAGGCTACTGCGCATTTGTCCAGTATGCACTCAGAAAAAGGCAAGTACAGAATTCAGTATATTTCATTTGAGAAACGGGCCATGACCTTGAGGCAGCTGTATACTCAAAGGCAATATAAGTGATTTCTATGAAGTGAAATATATCTGCTTGTAAAAATCTGCTGCATATATCTTTTGGCCTAGAAAAGTACGCCATTTCCCATTGTGAATGGGTTATTGTTCTCAGTGTGAAATTGGCGAAGGCGTTGGCCCCGATGGACGGGAGGCGCAACTGCGGTAATTACAATTGCCGCCGGACATGGACGGCAGCAGCGGCACCACTGCATCACTGCACCACCGAACCAGCGAACCACCGGCCGCCGCACCACCGAAAGCGAGTTGCACAGTGGCAGGCACAGCTGTGTGGCTCCGTCAGTGGATCCTCATCCTCATCGTCATCCTCGATTTTCGAGTCCCTGCCCAAGAGACAATTATATGCTGCCAGAGACGCATGCGCAGCTTCCTGGGTTGCTGCTGCATTTCGTTTTTACGTTTTTATTTGAGCAAATTGCTGGCAACTTTGCGCTGGCTGACTGACTGACTGACTGAATGATAGACTCACTGACTGCTCCGGAGTCCGGCTTTTGAGTCCGATCCTCAGTGACTGACAGTTGCCAAGGCTGGGCCCCCAACTCTGCCAGTTCCCAGTTCCCAGCTCCCCAGTCCAGCTCCCCAGTCCAGCTCTCCTCCAAAATGTCTACGTGCGGGCGTTTTGCTCAAGAATGCTCTCGGGTCGCTGGTCTCGAACGATAATGATGATTGCAGTCTAAATTATGATGCCGCGCTGCTGTACAGAGAGAAAGTGTAGCATCAGCAGCAGCAGCCGCATCAGCAGCAGCAGCCGCATCAACGGCAGCAGCGGCAACAGAAGCTGCCTGCAACATCATCGACCTGGCAATCGGCTACTCCTCCTCTTCCTTCGACGATCAGGGCTGGAATATTTATTTAAAAGGTAAGTTTCACAATCATAAGTTTATTAAACAGCTCCCAATTGCTTACAGAATTTTCAGACCAAAATGAAATATCACATCTTTAATTATTGAATTACTCAGCAATGAATATATCTGACATATTCCTAAGTTTTCGTTTAGTTTGCTGATACCCAAGAAATTGCTTATACATTGTACAAAAAACGTACGAATTTGCTTAACAAAATTTAAAATGTGTTTTTTTAATTTAAGTGTTTGCAATCTCATAAAAAATTAAAAAAAAAAAAAAAGATGATGAAAATACCTTTTTTATATGGATTACTCATGCATTGTCGTATGATCTTGCTTTATGATCTCGTAAGAACACTGCTTCGAGTTTCTAGAATCCGCTCCTGGTTTGTTTAGCATAACTCCATGCCGCTGGCCTCGCAGCGAAGCAGAGGAAGCGCAAAAAATCTCATAATTGCAAAGCAGTTTGCCGCAGGTGCGCCACCCGCCCTGGATGTGAATGTATATAGGATGTGGATGTGGATGTGGATGTGGCTGGGGATTGGGCATTGGCTATTGGGCATGGTTACTGGGGGATTGGGGACGTAGCTGGGACCCTGGACAGAGGACGCCAGATGAGCAGTGCCGATAAGGCGGCGAACTGCACGTAAGTAGATGTGTTGTTGCTGTTGATGTTGCTGATGTTGCTGCAACAACATCCGATGGCAGCGACTTGGTCTCGTTCTCGTATTTAATGCATTTGATCCTTGATGCTGTTGAAAATGAACTGAGCCCGAACATGCAATCAACTTGAGTTGCCCTCGCACTCCCCGCAATCTGATTTTACCCTGCCAATCCGGGCAATTTCATGAATGAAAACTTGGCTCGTTTGTGGAGTTTGCATGTTTCGGCTTTCCGATATACACGCACACCCACATGCCGCCATTAAAAAAAAAAAGGTATAAAAAAACAAGGGGGGATTTGTGAGCTAGCAACATTCTGCGTCTGTTGCTGCAGCTGCAGCGCATTAACCTCGTTCGTTGCGTCTTTCGTCTGTAAGAGCCCGAATCCGAAAACTCCTTCTTCTCCGACTCTGGCAAAATATTTACCAAAGTGATTAAGATGCCTGAGTAATTTTTAACACAATTACGCTGCCAAAGAGACGACGCTGGAGTCGGAGTTGCAGCTACCTCACTTACACCGCAGCAGCGCCGCTGCAGCAACTGTTGCTGCTGTTGCAGCTGCAATGCTGCTAATGACCAGGCACAGGCTGCAATATAAACTGTGGCATTGTCTGGAGCTGGCTGTGCCCCTTGGTCCCCCCTTGGCGAACACCCAGCGACTTGTGTGTCTTAGCCATTAGCGCTACCACACTAGGCTGGCTTTAATCGTAGCGAGGCGACCGCATCGCAGCTCAAAGTCAACAGAAATACGCAAGTACACAAATCCAAAGCCAGGCGGGTGTACACGCATCACTGTTTTTTGACAGCTTTTTTTCGAGGCCTAGACACTCATCTGCGAGATTGTGTGATTTATCGAATTTATGAAGCTTCGGCAGGTGTTGAGCTGTGGGCATTGAGCTGTTGCAGTTGCAACACTCGGACGCATCCAGCCCCGTGTGTACAATGTTGCCCCATTCAACGCACGACAAGCTGCAAAAAGAGTCGTGCCGCATTTGGTTTAGTTTTGGGGCTTCGTGTGGCACGACTTTTTGCCTCTGCCTCGCAGGGTCTCCATACAGATTGCCGTGAATCGTTGAATATGTGCTCAAATGCGCCAACAGCCGGGCCATTTGTACAAAATATTTGTCAACGCGGCACTGAGAGAACAAATTGCTGCTAGACTTTAAGTGCAACATGTTGCGGTTTTCCGTCAGACAACGAATGCGTCAAGTTATGAGACGACTTGACTTCGCAGAGGAAAATAAACTATACTGGCATTTGTAAGAAACCCAAATCAGACAACTTGAACTTCATATGTAAACCAAACGATTTTTGGGGTTCGAAATGTAATTGCATCATTTAAAGATTCCTTATAGAACATATTTTTAAGCCTAAGCTTCTTTGAACATTGGATTACTTTGATTATTATTAAGCAATTAGAAATATTGTAAGTCATATCCTTTAAACCTCTCAATTGCTAAACTCCGCTCGACAAACCACCAAAATTTAACTCTCTGTGTGGGTTTTACCATCTAAGGATGGACTTCGCTTGGTGCAAAGGGGGAAAGGCCAGAAAAGCGTAGCTCCTGGCTACGAGGCTAATTTCCTCATAGCCAGTTAAGTACCTCCGATCTCCTCGTTCTCCGGCGGCTCAATGAAAATGAAAATGAGCTCGGCACGCGTTGCCATGGCGCACGACTGGAAAATTGCAGAAGCCGCTTGGCTGCACTTGGCTGCGAAAAAGGGGAAGCGTTTTGGGTCGCAGGGTTCCTCTTTAGCTTTTTTTTTTTTAGCCACATTTCAGTGGTGTTTCGGCCACGTGTTGCGCATGCGCTTCACTTTGGCACTGGCTTTGACTCCGGGGTCCAAGTCGAGAGCTCTGGACATGAGCACGACGCCCTCAGCGTTTGTTTGTCAGGGTCGACTGCGTCGCAAGTGGCCAGGTTGCAAGTTACCTGCTGCAGGTTGCAAGTTTCCCAGTTTGCCAGCTTGCCAGTTTCCCAGTTGCAACTCGAAACTGCCGCATCGTGCAGCGGCCGTTGCAATTGTTCTTTCCCCCAGCAAATGGATGGCGTGAGGCAGGCACACAGGCGCAGCAGCAACACCGCAGCAACACCGCAGCAACACCACCGACACCGCAGCAACACTAGCCGCACCAGCAACACCTTCACTCTCTGTGGCAGCGATATCGCGATGATGTATGGCCATGGCTGCCCCGGACACCCCCTTTTCAAGGCCCCCCTTCGGAGATGAGGGGTCTTGCTCGGATTGTAGGCGTCAACTCACGTTTATGCTTTGTAGACATTATCGCGCCTGTTTATCTTTAAATTGCAAGTAAATTACTTTCGGCTCGCACTGCGGATGATAAATTGTCTGGGCCGCGTTGAAGGCTCTGACGGATGCACTGAATCCAAAATGGTGGGGTTGGTGGGGGAATGGTTGCGGGGCAAAAATGGGAAAGTATCAGTAGCTAGGCCAATTATTCGCTGGCTGAATTCACAGATTCTCACCCGTTTATCCGAACATTTCGTGAGCAGCTTTAACGCTTAATAAATTCAAAATCATATTAGAAAATCTCGCAGGTGATAGAAAGGTGAGAAGTTGGTGGGCGAAAACCTTTTACTCGCTGCTGTATAAATATTCATTAAGCCAAAGTGCCAGGAACGCTGAAATTAATTATGTGCATTCGTTTAAATATCCAAGATTCCTGGTAATTAATAAGCGCTGCTCAACATAAATCTGTATTAACAATTGACTTAGGTATTTATTTTTACAAAAATCCTGAGCTTATCTTTTCAACTTGTCACCCGTTCAATCGAGTTATTTTTCGCAAGCTTAACTATTGACTTAATAAATTAAGAGTCGTAGGGAGCATTTGGCTAGTCAGAGGTTTTATGGACAATGGATCTTTGTGGCATCTCTCAGTAGTGGGTCTCGGTGATCCTGACCTTTCCGTACTTTCCGTGCAGGGCGTGCTTGGCGAAGGATAGGAGGTTCGAGTGGCTGTGGACATCGAAGTGGGCTGGGATACTGTGATGCACCACGGCGGCGTGGGTGTCATGGTGGTGGTGGTGCACCACCGGAGCGGCTTGCAGACGAGCGTAGTGGTAGTGCAGCGGCTCATGGTGGTACACAGTGGTTGGCAGCGACTCCACCAGGTGGTGGTCCAAGTGGTGATCCAGGTGGTGGTTGAAGTGGTGGTCGTCGTGCACCAAGGCGGCACTGTGTCCCAGGTGGATGCCGTCCGAATGATGGATCTCAGCGTCCAGCAGATGCGGCAGTTCCTCATGGTGGTAGCCATGATGGCTATCCACATGGGGCAGCAGACCGGCCTGCGCCACAGCCACCACGGCCAAGATGCACACGAAGTACTGCAGATTAAAAATTTCTAATAATTTCAAAAATCCCTCTTTCGATTTAGACGCCCTCACCTTCATTCTGAGAGATTCCTTGCTTAAGTTGAGGGTTATCCAATTGCGAAGCTTACGCTTTTCTGCTGAACTGCTGAACTGTTGTCGATTGACTGTGCCTTCAGCGAATGGGAGCCTATCGTTTTATAGGAGGCTCGGCCCAATGAAGATTCAAACGAAATCGAAAACTGGGGGTAAGGACGTGATTTGAATTAATGTCGTATCGAGTGAATGAATGGTCTTCCCCCATTATGTAAAGGGCGTGCGGGGCCACTGTCAACAAACCCTAAGTAGGTGCCCAGCGATCGTGTCATAATTTTATGGCCCACAGCCCCGGTGCAATGGATAATGAGTACTCCCACCACCGTCTTGGCCATTTGGCAATCCGCGCAGTGAAAGCCCCGGGGAGTTAGCAACATTTGGTACTGGGACGTGAGCCGTCCAGTATTTGGCAAACATCTCGAATAGAGGTGCGAAAATGCGATCGACGCAAGTCGCACAACTCGAAAATCGATGGTTGCAAATCGCGATGTGTGGGTGCTGGTGGCGATCGCAAACAGAAGAGGTGCCACAAATACCTGGAATCAATTGGATGCTAATTGAATAGATCACTCCCACAAGATGCCAATTAGAGAGCTCCCAACCTAGAGATTCCTAGTGGTGCGAACTTGCGAGGTAAATAGGCGTAGGAAACTGAACTCATTTAAAGCGGTTGGGGAGTCTATTATGGACATTATTCATGGGGCATTCAATGGAAATGACAAATTGAGCACTTAGGAAATGATGATAGGCGTATAAGGGCTTACATGCAATGCAGATTATTCCATATTAATCCACAGCAGATTAATTATGGCAGAGGAAACGTTTACTTGTGTGTGTTTTTCAATTACCAGAGAACTTACACTGCACACATTTATTAATTAAAGAATTCTCTTCATAAAATCGACCATAAAATTAAGATAAACAGCGACAGAGAGCATATAATCACAATTAAATTACAATTATCTTGATTTACCAGTATGCAGCTCGTAATAAAAACATGTACTTATAAAAGCTTTTTAATCCGCTCATAAGTCGCTGATTTGTTTATGATCATGAACACATGCATATACTATTTAAGCCACACATTTGTACGCGCTCATAAATAGAGCTAGTATTGCCACACAATCAGCCGCTGGAATAACTCACTTTTATTCACTTTTAGTATATGGATTTGCCAATCAGTCGCCGAGTTTCCCAATTCGAGTCCCTGTGCTGCTGGCTTCCTGTCACCGACGTGCCGACAAAAAACACGTTCCAAGAAACATGAATAAATCAGACTGATAAGAGCCAGCACCACCGCACCACCGCACCACCTGCTGGGATGTGGGTCAGTCGGCGGCTAATTACATAATAATTTGGTCAATCGAACGACGCCGTGTTAATGAGCCGCACTGTATGCAGGTGACAATCCGACCAACTCCGCGAACTTGCTGGTGGCCACCAGGTGGTGCAAGTGGTGCAGGGGGTGCAGGGGGTGCAGGGGGTGGTGGGTCAGGGCGCCCCAAGGGGGCGGTGGCTTATCGCAGGGGAATCGGCATACTGAGCCCACGTGCTACGTGCCAACAGCTTGAAATGCCAGACAGGTGTCGTACCTCATAAAGTGTTTGTAAGTCGGCGGTGCGAGTTGGTTTTGGGTTCAAAAGCGCGATCGCAATTTGTGCACAGCTGACTAATGGTCAAAATAAAACTGATAAGTTCTGGCCAGAACGTAGGTTTCTGTGACTGACCAACATGTTGGCCAATTTATCTTTTCTGGCTGTGAAAATGGCACACAGTACACATAAGTGTTAGTGTGTACATAAAATTACTAAACATTAAATACTAATTTATTGGTCGCCACTCGACTTTTCATGTCTGGTTTCACTCAAATTTGTTTAACTAAAGTAAAGTGTTGCATTCTTATGGAAACATATTTTGTGTGCCTAATGATCTAAGCAATCTTCCTACACATTGCGATTCAAACCAATTACCTATTTTATACATTTTTGCAAGCAGAATTTAATTTACGAGCCATTAGGCTGACTGGCATTGAATGCCAATAGAAATGGTAGCTTTTTGTTGAATGTTTAATTCGAAATGCATAGATTTAAGGACGAAATCGGAGCAATTATCATATAGCTATTATACACGCCGCTGCTGGCAATCGACAACAAAAGCAGAGCAGCGCCGCGGCGGAATTAAAAATGAAAATAAGAATAAATAAACTATAATTTATGCGACGTCACCGCACTGGTCGCTGTAATTGAGTGCATCGTTAGTCGGTTGATGGAGCGCATAGCGGGTCAGGGGGGAGGTGGGGCGGAATGTGGACACAGGGGGCGGTGGTCTGCACTAGCTGCCACCGCCGATGCCAACAACTAATTTAACGCCAGCGGCAGCAACATCAGCAACAACAAGCGACGGCAACATGTCAACAGCAACGCCTGACCAAGGATGAGTGGGATGCAAAAAAGGGGGTTCTATATCTATCTATCTATATATATATAGATACATGCATATCGTGGCAATCGGGGGCCATACACGCCGCATACTTAATGTCTGGCCAGCAGCAAGCCCACCCCATTGTGGGCAGATATTTTATGAATATGCGGCTAAAATCATTTTTGCCACACACTCGCCTCGCCGCGACCACAAATCAGCGGAATGAGAAATTTGATGGTAATTAATATTGTAAGCGAAATTAATGGCAATGCGACACTGCACACACACACGGACCTGGGAAAACTGCATGCGAGTGCTTTAGACAATTGGAGCACTTCAGCTGGGGATGGCAATCAAAGTGGCCGGGATCGAGGGCAGAGATCAAAGGGGATTTGCATCGGACGGCTGGGTGGCGGGGTGGATGAATAAATTATGGCTAAGCACCGCGATTAGGCACTTCTAGAGGAATCTACTGACAGGGATGCACAAAAAATCATATCAATTGCTGGGATATACAAACCTGACTTACTATTGTTTTAGCATAAGCTCAACACTTGTTGCCCGTTTCGATTTTAGACTAATTAGCTAATTCTCAAGTAAAAGATAAACAATGCAGTTTACCTATGTAGATTTGGGAGAATTTAAAATGACTGAGAGCTTGCCCCTTCTGATTGCTCATATATCATTTACACCCATTTCCCAAATGGAAATCCCTACTCCCTGTGAAATTAATTTCGCAATCATCAATGGGAATAGGGGAAGACAACAATATGGATAATCGCATCATTGGCTGCTACCTTGATTACCCTTCCTGGGCAGCCTCATCAATAGTAGGTCCAGTAGCAGGGCATCCTACCCATCCACATCCACATCCAGATCCTCATCGCTGGCTTGCAGGTGTTTCACGTGGCACTGTTCCAATTTGTAAGCGAATATTGTTTTCGATTGGGTCCAGTGCACGATTTTTAATCATTACGGAGGCGATCTTCATATGAGTCCATGTCTGCTCCACGGCCCCCGATCGCCGATACAAATTGCCGAGCTAGAGAGCTGGTAGCCCAGTCCATTTCCCCCACAGCAAAACAGCAAAACAGCTCCGATCTGCCATTAGCCCATTCTCCCCCTCTCGATTATTGCATTTTCGCCAGGTAATGAAGTTCAACAAAAAGTTAATCGGAAAAGCGCAGGCCCCGCAACTAAATAGACAAATGATACGGAACGGAAGCTGCTCCAGACAGCCTCTCTCCCCAGTTTCCATCTGATCTCTTAGCTTTTACTTCACATACTCCTCCGCGGGCAACTGATTCGATGCACTGCGAAAAACTATGGGAACTAGGGTTGATCACTAACATTTAAGTTGCACTTCCAACCGCTTAGCTTGTAAACAAAGTTGTTAACTTGTAATAAATATCTTTGATATAAAGTTTTCTCCTGCATGTATTTCACTGTAATTTTCGCCAGTATATACCCTTCTGGCCAATTGTGTGGTGGGTTTTGCTTGGCACATTAGCGGCTATAAATTGTCTTAATGCCCGCACACAAATGCAGATCTTCAGAGCCGGGAAACTGGGTTCCGGGGGCTTTCAAAATCGAAGGAGACCGGGAGGAGCAGACACCTTGAATGGCGGCAAAGATCAGACTCGAGATTCAGGCGAGAGTTGCGAACTTTAGCCAGGTTGCGATTGTCTCAGTCTCCGTTGCAGTCTGCACTCTGATTCGGATCTTCATACATGATCATATAACAAGAGGACTGGGGGAACTTAGCAGACCGATCCTTGCAATACTCTATAAGTAAATGAAGCCATTATTCCCATTGTCAGTTTTATGCAATTAGATTTGAGAGTTTCAAGTATAATATATAATGTGACGCATAAATCAAAACCATTTAGTTGTTTGCAATTAGATCTCTTTAGTATTCCTAAAACTCAAAAATAACATGGTTTATTATTGCTTGTAACCAAATTCTTGTTTAATAATTAAATATTGTTTAATATGTATATCAACAATATATCTTATATGGAATCTTTTATAGAAAACAGAACCTCAGAAATTTGAAGGCCATTGAAATCCGACAGTACTGCTTTGAAGGGTATCCAGAAAGCAAAGAAGTATTTGAGCAGCAGGAGATAGGATGGCAGGATGGTGGAGTGGTGGATGGTGGGTTGGTGGGTATCTTGGCCCGTCTCAAGCCCCGCTGGCCTCTAGCTTATGCAACTCCTTGGCCCCACTTGCATGTCCAATCGCTGCGAGATTGTGAAAATTGTAACGCTCGATTGAGAGCTCAAAGTTGCTGCTGTTGCCGCCGTGCTGCTGCTGCTGCTGTTGCTGCTGATGTTGCAGTTGCTGCAGCGACTGCTGCTGCTGCTGCTGCTGTTAATAATATTGCACAAAGGCAGCGTTTGCGAAAGTTCGTCAGTTCGGTGAGAGACTGCAGAACAATGGGCCAGGCGCACTCAATTGAAGTGTTTGCCATGGCTGAGGTCTCCAGGTTCCAGATTCCAGATTCCCAACTCCCGATTCCCGATCCTCGCTCCTCCACGTTCTCGGCCGCAGAACGATGGCCCATTGTCAGTTGATTTCATCTGAAATAGAAAGCATGCAATTTTCATGCCATGACCATGGCGTCGATAGGCGGCAGCAATTGATCTGGCTGCGATTGCCAGCGATCGATTGAAGGAGTTATTACACG